TACAGCATTTGAGATCTTGTAAGACAGGCTAGTAAGCCAGGGCAAGTGGAATAGGGAAACTGAAACAAAAGTTAAATGGCTAAGCAGTTTACAGCCATCTAGAAAATAAAAAAAAATCCTATCTTCCCTAACCAAAGATGCTTAAGAGTAAATGGTTTATACTCCTCCCCACCCAGAGGATAAATAGCTTAAATCACCATATTCAGAGAAATAGCAAAAATCCAATTAGTGGTGCCATTTGTGCCAACCAAGAAAGGATAAAGTTAAGGGAATAAATCTAATTTTGGTGCATTAGCATAAAGCTGATGAATATTCTATTGGTTATCTCCCCTAAGACCTCCCCTAAACTCTAAACCCTTTTTTTTTATCAATATATTTTTATTTCAGAGAGAGAGTGCAAAAGATAGAAACATTGATCTTGCTGCCATATTACTCAGGCCTGTCCGAGCAACTAGTTAAATTTAGATCCTTAAAGAGATTACAATTCCTGCCCTTGCTTTCCTGGAATGTTCCATTTTTGGATTTTGATTCTAAGGCGATTGCCTATCTATAAAGTTCATTCAATCATTTAACAGGCATTCATTAATGTGTACTCTTTAGACACTTAATAGGTACAATTACAGTATAAATTTAAATATGTCATCTGCCCTTGGGGAGCTTCAATGTAATAGGGAAGATAAAACTTAGATTATACCTCTATCCCTAGGTATGAAGTCTCACCTCAAATACATGAGGGAGGAGTCTCCAAGGAAAGAAAAAATTGAAGTGTTAAATATGAAAGACAGCTGCTAGGCAGACAGAATTATCAGACATTCACCACACTTTTCCAGCTCTATATGTCAATAAAGTCCATTTTTTGCTTGACCTGATTAAAATGGATGTGTGCTTTGCAATGTAAAGACCCTTGACCAATCTGGATGTCAAAAAATGAGACAAGCAATTTAGTTCAAGGGACTAGAATAGCACAGACACAGGCAAAAATGAGCACCAACCATCTGGGGAAAAGAATGAATAAGGATGGCAATACAACTTGGTCAGATTATGGAAAGTCTTGAAAGTCTGTTTATGGACTGTGCAATTTTTTTAGAGTTGCATTACTTCAATTACTCTCAGATCTTTGGGAAACTGAAGGCAATATTTTCTCCCGTCTGATGTACAAGTATATTTTGAAGTAGGTCTGCCTTCAAATATTCCAGTGCAATAATAACATTTTTGTAATATTACCTTTTTGTAACATTACATTAGCATATTAATAATTGCACCTATCTGTATTTATCAGAGGATGTTCCTAATGCCTTTAATTAGTAACAATGCCAGTCATGACTTCAGTGTTTAGGGAATCTCAGCTGCATGCTTGCCTCCTTCCTCCCATCCACTTGCCAAAGACAACATGTTGAATAAAGATGGGGTTGAATCTTGTCAAACCATGAGTGAGGATACTAATTTGCCTAATTGATAACATTCTGAAAGCCACTAAATTCTGCCATACTATATAAAAATCCATTTCTAATAACAGATATGGGGAGCAAATGGAGCTTTTTAAGTAGGCAGCATTTCTAATTATTTCTGAGGAACTGAGATTCCTCAGGAAGATAGGTAGTATAAAAAAAATAACTTATGGACAAATAAATTTGTGAAATACTAGTTAAAATGAATTTAAAATACAAATGGTTTCTTTTTGTAAAAGTGTTATCAAAAATGTTAACGTTATTACAAATTATGTCTTCCTAAGATGATGATGAAACATACATCACTTTCAAATTTACTGACTTAACTTTTTTTTTCAAAGGGGTATCTTGCATTTCTAGTGGAAATTCTATGGACAATGGGAAACACTCAGTAGAAATTATGTGATCAGAAACATGCCTTCAATGACTCATTAGTCTGGATGCTATATACATTTAAAAGCAAACAATACAAGCTAAATGTCCAGGAAAATATAGTATAGGTGTTATGATTATAGAAACACTAGAGGCCTGGTGCACAAAATTTGTGCATGGATAAGGTCTCTAGGCCCTGCTGGTGATCAGGGCCAATCTGTGGGTGACCAGCAGGGCAATTGTGGGGCCCCTACTGGCACCCATGTTGGCCAGCATGGCACCACCCTGTCCTGCCACCACCACCAATGCCGGTAGCTTCCCTCTGCAGGGTGACTGGCACGGTGTTGGGTGTCCTGAGACCTGCACGCTGGGGCAATTCCTATGTTGAGTGCCTTCCCCCTGGTGGTATTATCAAAACTTTTAACATGTTATTACAAATTATGTCTCACTAAGATGATGTATTATCAAAATTTTTAACATGTTATTACAAATTATGTCTCCCTAAGATGATGTATTATCAAAACTTTTAACATGTTATTACAAATTATGTCTCCCTAAGAGGCCCCATGCCAGAACAGAAATGAAGTCACTCCCACTGGGTCCTCCCTTCCTCATGCACTTTTATTCCTTCATTCACAAATCTCAGCCTTTCTCTGAAGCTGAAGAATATGCCTCAAAGGCATATCTAATGCTGTATCCTCTCCTTGGATTTTAACACCCACTGGGACAATATGCCTATTGCCCCAGCTCAAGTAATAGCATCCTCTTCCACTCTCAAGGATCCTAGTTTGCACAGTAAATATGGTCATCTTACATATTATAAATTATTTTTCTCTTTCCCCCTAATTCCCCATTTCTAATTTTAATCATTCATTTTTTAGAATATAGAATTATAGATTAAACAGGAAAGAATTGAAATCAGCTAGTCCTATTTATACTTGACTGGATTTAGCCTTTGTCTGAAATTTGGACAGTTAATTCATTACCATATGATATGGTATTTTCCTAATTTATCTCTAAGTTTTATGAAAATCTTTTATCTTTAGCCTTAATTTTATTATTCTTTCCCAATCTAAAACTCTCCACTTAATAATTTTGGGATTCCTTTGTCAATCATGGGTTATCATAATGCCCAGCTTAAGGTATTTTTCATCCATACTAATAATAAAGGAATATGCAAATTGGCCAGAATGTTGTCATATAATGACCAATCAGGATGAGGGCAGGGCCAGCAGAGAGCTCTCCACTTGCCGGTACCAGGGGTCTGAAGGGTAGGAGAGGAAGGGAGAGCAGATAGGCAGTTAGAGGGATCAGGCTGACAGGGGAGCAGTTAAGGCCATCAGGCAGGCAGGCAAGGGGTTAGAAGCCAGTGGTTCCTGATTGCAAGAGGAATCCCAGTTTGGGAGAGGGTGCAGGCTGGGCTGAGGAACACCCTTTCCCCACCCATGCATGAATTTCATGCACCAGGCCTCTAATATATTATAAATGAACATCTTTTTAGATATCTAGAAGAGTAGTTATATACTATCCTTGGGAGAATTGAGAAAATAATTTCTCAAATCATATTTGGGTTGCATGGGTTAAATGAGAACCCTAGGTTGAAAGGCTTACAGATCTATCATTTAATAGCTTCATCTACCATACTAGTTCTATCATTTACTAGAAAGTTTACTTCATCTTTGTGCCCCCGTTTCTCAGCAAAAGGAAAAAAAAAGTATAATACCTCTTATGGGCTGTTGTGAGAATTAAATGACATATAAAAGCAGAGACCTTATCTTATCACAACTTTATTCCAAGTGCCTAGCACAGGTAGTAGCAAGCATAGAATTAAATTCTCAATGAACATCTGAATAAACATTAATAAAAGCCCTTGGCACACTACCTTGCACATAGCACTCAATAAAAGGCAGCTATTACTATTCTCTCATTTTTCCAGTGACCTGGTTTTCTGATCTTACTATATTAATTACCCTCTTATGGAAGCTCCCTGGTTTATCAGTATTTTCCTTAAGATGTAGTTCTAACAATTCAGGTCTGTGTGGTGTGTGGTAATTTAGCTGTTTGAAGGATGCACTGGGAAAAAGCTAGTCTACTTGCTTGCATAAAAAATTGACTCTTAGAAAAACTTTCTCCCAATACCATCCTTTAAACTTTGAGAAATGTATGGTTAGGAAGTAAAACTATTAGCCAATAAGGAGTAATCAGCCAAGTAAGAGAACACCATAGTGCAATGTTAGGAAAAGTGCTTATTATAACTTCACCTAATGAACAGTGCAGATTACCTACTGATTCATTAGGCTCTCCATCTAGAGTATACTCCTCCATGGCAAGACTACATCAAGTTCATCCATATGCTTATCAAAGAGATCTCCATATATTGTGGGATGGTTGAATAAGTAAGGACAAACAAGAAAGCCCAAGGAAGATGCTGAGTAGGTGAACAGCTTAACAGAGGCTGGAAGACCAATTTCAGTAATTTTGAGAGGACAGGTTTTGATGTAAGGAAGCTGGAATTGGATACAAATATTAAAATGGCAAATATAAGTGCAAAAATTCATTTGGAGCTTTTGGCAAAGAAATGTAAACTGATTTGATAATTTGAGACTATCGAGGTTTAGGTTTTGCTTTTGTTTTTAGTATAGTTGAGATGGAAGTTTGTAAATATTCCTTAAGATAACAGAGGGAGGTTGGAAGAGGTTAAATGTTAAGGACAATAGGATTGCTGGGCCATGGGGGTGGGTGGGAGATGAGCAGAGTAATAAATTGAAGCATTTCCTTTTCATTAACAGAAGTAAAGGTAAAGGGAATAAATAATGTGAGGAAAGGCAGGCAGTTAAGAGAGCTCAATTACAAGTCTCAAAGTAGGATACTCTGCCTGCTGGGAAGGGAATGAAGACCTGTGGAGGGAGGTGTGGAGCCATTGTGGGGGCTGACCTGCACAAAGGGGAAGACAAGGATTGTTGACCTTTGGGAAGGGTGTTCCCAGTAGTTCAATTTTAGGACTAAGAGAATAATCTCCCTCCTTCCCGAACTAATCCTTTTTGCGGCTTAAAACCCCTCTGAATTCAGCAACAATATCTTCCTTGTGCTAAAAACTATATTAACAAGATTCGTACGCATTTTTACATTCCCCTTAAAAATGAGACTGCGGCTGCACTGAGAAAGGATTTGAGGCCTTGTTCACACGCTGATTGAGGGGCGGGGCGGTATGCGGGCCGTGATCACAGGCGTGGGGTCGCCGGCGCAGCGCCGCGCGCTCCGCAGCAGGTCCCGGTCCGCGCCGGGGGCGGGGTACGGGCAGAATCTCGCCGCGCAGCTTCGGCGCCCTCCATCCGGGTCCCTTCCCTTCCCGGCGCGCGGCGGGTTCCAGCCCCTGCCAGGCGCCCGACGGCTCTCGGTCCGGACGCTGGGCCGTGTTGCCCGCCGAGGAGGAAGCCCCGGGTGGGTCGCCACGAGGGCGCTGTCTCCGGAGACCCTCGCCAGCGCCGAAGCCGGCGGGCTGAAGCTGTCGCGGGGTGGGCGGTGGGCCATCGTGTCCCCTCGGTCGCCGGCGCTCAGAGACGCGCCGTTCAGGGCCATCTTCAAACGCGGCCGCCGGGCCTGCCTCACGCCCCGCGGTTCGGGGAGGCCTCTGCGCTCCGCGGGTCAGTCCAGCCGGTGTCGGGCGCGGAGACGGCGGCCCGCTCTGCGAGCCATGCTGGGAGCCGCAGCCTCCAACGAGCGCTCCCCTCGCGAGCTTGCGCACTCCGTCAGCGCACGTCGACGCCAGGCGGGAGCGAGCGTGACAGACGCTGACGTCGGCGACGCCGGGGAACGCGGGGACGTGGGCTTTGGAGAGTGCGCAGTGGGCGCGGCGACGGCGGCGACCCCTCGGCCTCTCTCGGGAGGGGGCGACGCCGCGATGGGGGCGGCGGCGGCGGAAGCCGATCGGACTCTCTTTGTGGGCAACCTGGAAACTAAAGTGACCGAGGAGCTCCTTTTCGAGCTTTTCCACCAGGTGAGCGGCTGGGACCGGCCTTTTCCTTTCGTTTTCCGCCTGCGTAAGGCCGGGCCCCAGGCTCCCTGCTCCTTCCGGGCCAGTTGGGCCGTCCGGACGGGCGCCCTTCCGGTGGCCGGGAGGCCTGGGGTCGCGCCCGGCGTCGGGGATTGTCGCCGCGTTAAAGGAACCCTAGTTAGTCCCCGCGGAAGTGAGGACCGAAGGTGGTGGGGGGATCCCCGGTAAAGCATTTCCGAGGCAAACATTCAGGGGTCCCGGGGAGGGAATACACATGGGTTCTCTCTTGAGCAGTGTTGTTGTTTTTTTTTTAATTAGTTTTTTTTAAAATCATAGTTGACAGACGATAATATATTAGTTTGAGGTGTTACAACACAGTGATTAAGGCATTTATAGAGAACAGTGTTTTTTCTGTTCCCCCTTTTCTCGTCTTTCCTTTAAGACACTGTCTTTAGTGTGTCTGACAAATTTCCTTGTCAGTCTGTCTTTTCCACTTAGTTTCTTACAAAATTGCAGCATTAAGATATTTAAAGTAGAAAAAAAAAAAGATATTTAAGATAGTGATAAATGTTCCCTGGAAAAGTAGCCTTGTGGTGTTTCTGTATTACAATGTGTTAAAATTTTTGAAGTATCCTGTACCTACCCCCCAACCACAGTTAAGTTTGATTAAGCCATACAAACCTGAATTTTTGGTCCAAAGATAAACTGCTGATAAACATTAATTTCTCTAGAGGGAATGCCGATGATGGTTGGCTACCTCCTTACAGTTGTAAAGTGCTGAGAAATGTACATTCCATGATTGTTTCTGGTTCCTTAAGCGTTCCCTACCCCAAATAAATTAATCTTCAGTAATGTATCTGAGGGATCTTTATTCTAATCAAAATGGAAATCTGTGTGTATTTGTTAGAGTTCCTGATTAATTTCTTTTGTTTTTAATCTTGTAAAATTTAAATGTTCTCCTGAAATTGCCTTATTTAAGTTGTAAACTCATTTTTGTCTATAGGCTGGGCCAGTAATAAAAGTGAAAATTCCAAAAGACAAGGATGGTAAACCAAAGCAGTTTGCATTTGTGAATTTCAAACATGAAGTATCTGTTCCTTATGCCATGAATCTACTTAATGGAATAAAACTTTTTGGAAGGCCCATCAAAATTCAGTTTAGATCAGGTAACTCACTATTCAATTGTAGCATTAAGATATTTAAATCTATGGCGTTTGGGAAGAGGGATTATTTGCTGCTTTGGCTTTTTAAAATTTTATTCCGTTTTAAAGAAACATGGATGAAAATACTATAAATTTTGTGGGTAACACTGACAACATGAATTTTGAAAGTTGTAATTTAAAAACTTAGTTTAAAATTTCAGTTTGGGTTAGTTAACAGAACATAAACTTTATTGTTAGAAAGACTTGGGTTTTGGGTCCATATTCTGAAAGAAACAAGAATTATTCTCTGAAATGCTTTTTTGTTGTTGTTGGTCCTCACTAGAGGATATTTTTTTCCAATGCTTTTCAGAGAGAGAGTGGAAAGAAGGGAGTGGGGAGAGAGAAAAACAGCCATGTGAGAGACACATCCATTGGTTGCCTCTCTAACAAGCCCCAGTAAGGGCTCAAGAATCGAAACTCATGTTCATGTCCTTGACCCTTTCCTTTGCTGCATGGGTCACTCTCTAACCACTGAGCACACCAGCCAGGTGAAAATACTTTTCCTGGTTGCTTTGTAATTTACTTTTATAAGTTTGATTCTTGATTATGTGGGAATGAAACTTTGCATGTGTCCAGTCTTACAATTTAGTGTGAGGATCAGAATATTCTAATAGAGTGGATATTTATATATCACCAGATATTCCCTTATTTAGGACCATTTGTTTTGGATATATCTGCTAATTTAGAATTTTTGTTCTGATGAAACTAAAGCAGTTTGTTAAAATTTGAGATTTTTCTCTTTTAGCTTATGTCTACCTTTTTGGGGTGATTTGGAGTGGGAGAGACAAAATTTTCAATTAAATTTTCTATCAAGAAGAATTTCTTAAATTATTTTATTTTAGGAAGTAGCCATGCCTCACAGGATGTTAGTTTGTCATATTCCCAGCATCATGTTGGAAACTCAAGCCCTACCTCCACATCTCCTAACAGGTAATATTTCTCACCTATTGTTAAATCCTTTCTCAGGCGTTTTCTTAGGTAGTGATCTCAGAATGAATAATGTTTGATTCTCTCTTTAATGCTCCTATCTCTTTATTATTTGCTATGTTGGATTATAGTTATATACCCTGTTTCCCCAAAAATAAGACAGTGTCTTATATTAATTTTTTCTCCCAAAGTTGCACTAGGTCTTATTTTCAGGGGATGTCTTATCTTTCCATGCACTAGGTCTTATTTTCGGAGGATGTCTTATTTTCGGGGAAAGGGTATCTATACTAAGGGGACTGTAGATGTATATAATCCCCTTAAAACAGATATATAAAACTATTTTCACTTATAAAGACATACCCACACCCAAATATACATCGATATAACAAAATTTCACAAAATATTACTTACACTTATTACTTGCAATGTACTCAATTTACATTTTCTTTTCTCTCTTAAAATTTAAATTACTTTATACCACTAATTGGTTACTTGCAGTTTAAAAATAGGCTATTCGACTAAGAGTTCATGGAATTGGATTCTAGGTTTGCCTCTACCAGTTGTGTAATCTTGATTAGGCTCATTTCTCTGCTCCTATTCTTCCATTTGTAAGGAAAAGAAATTGAATTAAATTATCTCTAAAATGCCTTCCAGCTCCTGGGGGTTAAGAAAGGTATCATTTATTTGATACCTAAATAATTTTATTAGAACATAACCACACTCTTATTTACTTAAATAATTTTATTTGCTTTGGTGAGGCAGAAATTTTATCAGGGACAGTTTTTTCACTGGTATATTCTTTACCACGTTTTTTGCATTTATGATCTCCTATATGTTTCACAGTAGTCTTATGAAGTAGGGATTAGTATTATGTCTTCCTTCTATATGAAGAAAATGAGGATTGGAGGTTAACTTGTTCAAGTCTGAACTGCTCTTACATTGTGGGCTGGGAGTCAAGCCCAGTCACTCTGATGTGCTGCCTAGTGGAGCTTAAAGTCTAGATGAAGTCACACAATATATATATTTTGTGACTACCCTTTTAATTACTCAAAATTATTTCTCTAAGAAGGAAGCAGAAAGTGCTTGGAGAACCTTGTAATAAGGAAAGATTATATAAATGACTGAGGACCTGAAAGAGTCTTAGATGTACTTAGATGTACTTAGATCTAATGCATGAAAAACAGAGTAAGTGACATTGGAGAAGTACATAGATGCTGGATGATACAGTCTTTCTTATAGCCTATAATTTGGATTTTGTGATTTTTACCTTAAAAACCATAGGAAGACACTGAAATGTTTTTTGTAAGGTAGTTATAGGAATAGATTTGTTTTTTTATTTATTTTATTTTAGATTTATATTTTAAAGAGTTGTTTGGTTGCAATGGGAAAATGGATTGGAGGGACCGAGGTAAAAATAGACCTATTAGAAAGCTATTCGTAGCAAGATAGGGAAGTTCTCGGGGTGAGGCTGGAACTATAAGACAAGTTGGTGACTTGATTCCAAAGACATGTTTTAAAATACAGTTAATTTAAGTGAGATTTTTCTATAGAGCAAGTTATTTCCTCAGGAAGTGAGGAATAAAGTATAAGTCCTTAAAATTCTTACTTCCAAAAACCTGTTGCTCTCTCCTGTCTCAGTATGTCTGCTTAATTGCTTAAGTCTCTAGATTTTTAAATGTTATTTTTTTCTGTTTCTCTCATCTGTCATATCTAATTAATCAAATCTGTTTCTTTCTCTTCTCCAGAAAATTTTGTTGTTGTTAATCCTCACCTGAGGATATTTTTTGCATTGGGGGGGTGAGAGAGGAGAGGAAGAAACATCAATGTGAGATAGATTCATCGCTTGGTTGCCTCCCACATGCACCCTGACCAGGGACAGGGATCAAACCAACCCTTCAGTTTCAAGGCTGGTGATCTAACCACCGACCCACACTAGCCAAGGCTCCATCAGACCTTTTACATTTTAGTTCTTTGTCTAGGCCTTTCCACTAATCCAGGGATTGACTTTTTTTTTTTTTTTTCCTATAAAAGTGCAGATAGTTAATATTTTAGACTTTGCAGGTCATACAATTTCTTGCTTTGCCATTGTAGCAATACATAGAAAATATGAAAACAGGAGCATGGTTATGTCTTAATAAAATTGCAAAAAATGATTTGGTCACGGGCTACCTTACTACTCCTTCCCTCAGCTGGAATGTTCTTCCAGGTAACCTTGTAATTCAGCTCTCACTTCAAAGGCTATCCTTGACAAGCTAAGCAAAAATAGAATCCTCTCTCTCATCTCTACTTTCTCTTTAGTCATTCAGCATATCACTTACAACTATGTGAAACTTTCTTATTGTCTGAATCCGTATCCCAGCTACATGAAAGCAAATAACCTTGTCTTGTTCATTCCTTTGAGAACTGTGTCTGCTCATGATTGTTATGTAGTAAATTCTTGTTGAATGAATGATTATATGTTGTTTTATTATTTTTTGCAGACATGAAAGGACTATGGATAACATGACTCCATCACAACAGATAATTCAGAGATCTTTCTCTTCTCCAGAAAATTTTCAGAAACAAGCAGTGGTAGGCTGATTTTCCTACTTATTACTTAAAAAACAAAATACTTAAAATTTCAGATGATTTTTTTTAATGAATTTTTTTGGGGTGACATTTGTTAATAAAATTATATAGGTTTCAGGAAAAAAGTCTATAAACCATCATTTGTATATTGTATTTTGTGTTCACCACCCCAGGTCAAGTCTTCTTCCATCACGTTTTATCCCCCTTTACTCTCCTCTCTTCTACCTCCCATCGTTCCCCTTTTCATCTCATAATTGTCATACTGTTGTCTGTGCCTTTGAGTTTGTTTGTTTTCTTTGTTTAGTAATTCCTTTACCCTTTTCACCCAACATCACAATTCCCCTCCCCTCTGACAGCTATCATTCTGATTTCTGTCTCTGATTCTGTTTTGTGTGGTAGTTTATTTTGTTAGATTCCACATAAAAGTGAAGTCATATGGTACTTGTCTTTCTCACACTGGCTTATTTCACTTTCCATATTACTCTCTGGGTCCATCCATGATGTCACAAAGGGTAAGATTTCCTTCTTTGTGATGTTTGAGTAGTGTTCCATTGTATAAAATGTACCACAGGTTGTTTTATCCACTCATCTAATGATGGGCAGTTGGGCTGGTTCCAAATCTTGGCTATTGTAAATGACGCTTCAGTGAACCATAGGAGTGCATCTATTTTTCCGGGTTTCTTTAGATATATTCTCAGAAGTGGAATTGCTGGATAGAAGAGTTCCATTTTTACTTTTTTGAGGTAACTCCATACTATTTTTACACAGTGGCTGCACAATGGTTCTCTTTTCTCCACATCCTCTCCAGTACTTGTTTGTTGATTGATAGTAGCCATTCTGGCACATGTGGAGTTTGGATTACTGCTTCAATTTCATTAGTTGTAATCTCTCTATCAGATTTCTGATTATTCTGGATTCAGTTTTGGAAGATTGTATATTTCTAGGAATTTATCTATCCCATCCTGACTATCCAGTTTGTTGGCATACAATTGTTTATAATATTTTCTTAAAGTCCTTTGTATTGTAAGTTGTTACTTGTCCTGTCTTTCTTGATTTTATTTGGATCCTCTGTTTTCTTGATGAGTCTAGGTAAAGGTTTGTCAATCTTGTTTGTCTTTTCAAAAAATCAGCTCTTGGTTTCATTGATCTTTTGATTGTTCTTTTTTAAACTCTTTTTCTTTTCATTTTGGCTTTGTTGTTATTTTCCCATTCCTTTAAGTATAGAATTAGGTTGTTTGAGATTTTTCTCGTTTCTTAAAGTAGGCCTGAAATACTATGAATACCTCTCTTAGGACTGCTTTCATTATGTCCCATAGATTTGGAGTTGTGTTCTCATTTTCATTTGTTTCAAGGTATCTTGATTTCTTCCCTGACCAGGAATCAAACCATGACTTCCTAATCACACACGTTAGTTTTCACTGACCTGAAATATATATTTAAGAATTGAAGATAGAGTTGAATTTCACATTTTTATTTTTCTCCACAGTTGGTGTGTGTGTGTTTCAAATACTCGAAATTTACTCTTGTTCTTGCAACCCTATGCTGAGTGACTTTTTAAAATCATATACTCTCTAATACTGAATATCAATACTTCAATTAATATACTGAAGTCTTCTAAACTAGCTGCCCCTTGAATGTTCCCCTTTTTTTTCTGTAATATCTCCATGAGATGTATCATTTTTGTTTCCTCTCAGTTGCCAACTTTTTTTTTTTTTTTCTTTACACTCATTTCTTTTTTTCTTTTTTTTTTTTTTTTTTTGCCCAAATCACAGTTTTGGCTTGTTGTCCCTACCCTTTAGAATTTAATAGGTTTATAAAATATAATGGTGAAATAAAGTAAAATTTTGAGTCCAATATAAAGGGATTAACTTTTATATACCTTTTATATGTCTCACTTTGTTGTAGGCCATTAAAGAAAATCATATTTGGCCAATGTCTATTTCACACATAGAATTTGAGAACCACTTGCCTAGGCAGTTAGTATGTGTCTCCATTTTATTCTCAGTAGTCCATCTCACACACTGTTTCAAATTTAATATAATTCTGCTTTGCTTATCATCCTGGTGATGTGACTTTTCAGTGTTTGCAGATAAAATCAGAATTTTCTAGCCAACTTATTAGCACTTCATCTTGTAATTCAAATAAATCTTTCTAGCCTTGCTGTCCATTTACTGGTTAGGAGATCTTTAATGTGTTTCAGTCAATTTATTTGCTATTCTGTTAACCCATTCAGTGTTTAATTGTTTTGTGTTTTTCTGTTTGTTTGTTTGTTTGTGCAGTTTTCTTTCCTTGGTATACTTACCTCCTTAAAATATTTTTCTAAAAATAGCCCATTCATGCTTTTGATACCTAAATCAGATGCCACCTTTCTGAAGTCTTTCCTAATAATATTGAGCTATATTATTACATGACTCTTTATATGTTCACCACAGTGATCCATATTACAGTCGTTTTGTAGGATTTCTTCCCTTCTAAGTCGTCTCTGTGAGGGCAAGGAGTGGTAGTTATGTACAAATATCCTGTAGCTGAATAGGAGTGAAGAAGCTATTGTATTGTACTACTTTTAGTTATATTTAAATTAAGATCCATTTAGGCAAGAGTGATTTTGCTTTTCTATTATTAGTTTGGTTAACTGTGACTAACTCACCATTGGCTTTGATATGTAGAAATGTTTGCAATTAAGATTTCCTTCTTTTTGTCTTACTTCAGATGAACAACGTTTTGAGACAGATGCCATATGGCGGGAAATTTGGTTCTCCGCATTTTGATCAGTCAGGATTTTCCCCATCAGTTCAGTCACATAATCATAGTTATAACCAATCTTCAAGCTCCCAGTGGCGTCAAGATACACCAGCATTACTGCGTAAAACCAGGCAGAGTTCTCATCCCTACATAGTAGACAGACACTATAGTCGTGAACAGCATTACAGAGGACATAGAGATGATTACTTCTATGAAGACAGGAATCGCGATGGCTGGAGCCATGACCACGATAACAGAAGAGACAGCAGTAGAGCTGGAAAGTGGCATTAATCTCGAAACTAACAAGTGTCCAAAGGACATTGTTTTTATAGGGTCATCCTAGGCCCTTTGGACTAAGTTAGTCTGGAATGTTTTGTTAAAACTGGACAAAGCAGTTTTATAAGTTGCCATGTTTCTTGATAAATTTTTTAAAACATTGTTATAGTCTGATACAGAAATGAGAAGACTTATGATTACAGTTTTTATTGATAACCTTTCACCTCAGGGCTTCATAAAGAGGAAAGGGTTTTATGCAAAAGAAAGTTCCACAATTCCTAATTGTTTTAGAAATTGAGGAAAGCACATGTTGTATGTATTGGTTGTATCATAAAGCAAATATTTTAATGATCTATTACCTATTGTATTGCAAGACCCTGCTTATTTTGTGTATATGATAGAAATTTTGTGTATATGATAGAAAACATTCAAGTTGGTAGTCTAAAATACGGTAATATTTTGTTAACAAATGAGAAAATGTAATTTCAATGATTTGTTTTTCTAACATTTGAGAAAGATTATTGGTAAAGTTTGTGAATAATGATATCGTTTAACTTCATGGAGAATGTAAGTGTAAGTTCTGTGACATGCTCTTTGAGTTTTCCCTAATTGGATATCAAGTGTAAATCTACACTTCCTATTTCATTCTAAAATATTAGAATTTTCTCATTAAATCATGTTTGACTAAATAACTGAAGTCACTCAGGAAGTTAAATATCTCTAAATGTATTTTTTTAAATTAAAAATTCAGTATTAGTGTAAATTCTCCTTTTCAGGAAGAACAAAAATGTACATGCAGAGTCAGATAAAAGGATTTACTGAAAGTATGCTTGTTTGGGAAAAGGTTCATAAAGCCTTTAAGTGCTGCCTCTATTACTCAAACTTTAAAAATTTACAACTTTTTAAAGTGCCCAGGGTATGTGTGCAAGGACACATTTTATTATATGGATTATACATGTTGTCTTTTATGTTTGAACATTTGAAAGAGTTAAGTCTTACACATTCTGATTTTTAAAATTTAAAATCCTGTTAAAACTTTTATGTATCAAGATATTTCCCTTTAATTGTAGAACTTGTTTATACAAATTCACTCCTTGCTATATTTGGATCCTTTTTAATAACTAGCATTTTTGTACTGTTACTTTTTAATATATTGAAAACGTAAAAAGGGGTATGTGTCTTCTTTTAAAAAATATTTTTATTGATTTTTAGAGGAAGGGGGAGAGAGGAACATTGATGAGAGCAGAACACGGATCGGTGGCCTCCCGCATGCTTCCTGACTGGGGCTTGGACCCTCAACACAGGCATGTCCTGACCTGGAATCAAATTAGCAACCTTTCCACGGACAGGACAACACCTAACTGAGCCACCCTGCCAGGGCTCTTCTTTTTTTTTATTTTTTATGTCACTATAGAGACATTGTACACAAAAAGTTAGCAACATACTTTTTATTCAGTGATTGGTGGTAAAAATATGAGTTCATCTGGCTGGTATGGCTCAGTGCTTGAGCGTGGACCCGTGAATCAAGAAGTCACTGGTTTGATTCCCAGTCAGGGCACATGCCAGGATGATGTGCTTGATCCTCAAAAGAATCATGCAGGAGGCAGCTGATGGACGTTTCTATCTCTCTGTCCCTCTCCCTTGTTTCTGTCTATCCCTCTTCTTTCCTCTCTCTTTAAAATAAACATGAAATTAAAAATATCAGTTTTTCAAGCATCTTAAAAATAAACATTTGTACATATTGAACTTAATATTTAGAGTCAGACTTCCAGTGACACTTGGATTATTGTTCCAAGTACTTATTCTTGATGTGCATTCAAGATTCCTTATTTTAAATGCATGCCTTTTTCTGTCTAGGTAAATGGTGCTACTCAACCATTCAGCATGGAGAGCATTAAGATCAAATTTTTCATCTCAAGCAATTTAATAGAAGGATTTGTTTCCAATAAACTTATTTTCAAGTGTCATGATAATTCAGTAGTATTTGTAGATATTATCAAAGGGTAATACTGCTCTATTGCCACTTACATGTGGGTCAGGCTCTTTCATATTCATAGGTGATCCTGATTCAGAATAATCTTTTATCGGGGCCTTTTGGGGCACACCTGTGAGGTTCCAGTCTTTTTCACTTGAATGACACCTCATTGAAAGTAAACTGTGTAAAGGGATAGAACAAGACATTTCTGAAGAGTTGAGTCTAGTTGGTGGACAATTTACATAGGGGTTGAGAGCTGCAGGAGTAAGGAGATTGCAGGAGAGCAGCTTCTCCAGAGTGTTCCATGAAATGTTACATGTTCTGTGAAATAAGGGTTCTGTAATCTAATGATTGGCAAATGTACTACTACTGACTTTCTGTTAGAGAACGATAAAGAACAGCACCATAAAGCTGCTGACTAGCACCCCAGAAATCTGTTTATGTCCTAGCCTGTTTGGTTCAGTGGATAGAGTCGGCCCGTGGACTGAAGGGTCCCAGGTTCGATTCTGGTCAAGGACACATAACTTCAGTTGCAGGTTCTATCCCTTGCCCTGGTTGGGGCTCATATGGGAGGCAATCAATTGTGTCTCACATCGATGTTTCTCTGTCTCTCCCACTTCCTTCTGCTCTCAAAATCTATTGAAAAGTATCCTCGGGTGAGGATTAACCAAAAAAGAAATGTTTATACTTATCCTTGTATTTTCCAAATTTGCTTGACCCTTTTTTTTTTTTTTATCATTATGCATAACTAAAGGACTGATGCATGAAGTTTGTGCAAGGGACTCGGCCCTTGCAGCCCTGGCTTCGTCTAGGAAGTCATCTGGACAGTCATTCTGCTGTTTGGTCTAATTAGCATATTAGCACTTTATTATATAGGATGTGTATTAAGGCACCCCTCCCGCCCCCCAAAGAATGTTTGACTTTACCCTTCTCCATCCAATCAACCATAAACTTTATACCACTTTCTAGTTATGTTGTAAAGCCTATGTTCCTTTTACCAACTGCCACCATCTTAGACTGGGCACTCTTCACAACAGGGTTATTCCCACAGTACCCTGATATTTAAGTACCAGTTTATGTATTTTGTTCTCTATTTCTCTTTAATAGCCTTTATTCTGTATTTTCATTTTATTTGTGTATCTAAGCTGCATGAAAGCAGAGACCATATTTTATTCACTACTGAAATTTGCAGTGTCCAGTGCCTGGCATAAATATACTTGGCAAATTTTTCTCTTCTTCTTCTTTTATTATTTTTTGTTAATCCTCACCAGATGATATTTTTTCCATTGAGTTTTAGAGAGAGTGGAAGGAAGGGAGAGGGGACACAGAAACATTGATTAGTTGTTTCCCATATGGGCCCCAACTCGGGCTGGGACTTGAATCTGAAACGCAGGCATGTGCCCTTAACTGGAAATCAAACCTGAGACCCTTAAGTCCACGGGCTGATGCTCTAACACTGAGAAACATTAGCCAGGCACATTTTTTATTTTAGTCCTCACCCAAGGATATGTTTTTCTTGATTATAGGGAGAGAGAAACATCCCTGTGAGAAAGAAACACCGATCAGTTGCCTCCGTACCTCAGATGGGGATGGAATCTGTACCTAGATATGTAACCTGACTGGGAAACCTGCAACCTTTTGGTGTATGGGACGCCACTCCAACCAACTGAACCACCCAGACAGGGCTACTTCGTACATATTTGATGAATGGATGAAGGGACATTTACCAAATAATTGAATTTAAAAAGAAGGCTTCAACATAGAAAATGTTTTTAAAATAGATTTGCTAACCTTGAACCATTATTCCATTATTAAAACTATGTATCTTAATATATTGTGCATTTAATTCACTATAGAAATCTATTTGGTTTTCAAATTTTTAAGAAGTTTTTTATCTGTATTCATTAGGCTTTAAAAAATGTTTAATTTATTTCTGGAATTATGGTTCTGCTAGTTTTATAAGGCGAGTTGATAAACTTATCTTTTACAGTGTCTTGGGGAATATTTGAGTAATACAGGAATTCTCTGTTTCTAGAAGACTTACATTCATTTATATACCTACTAGAGGCCTGGCCTGTGGGATTGGGCCAAAACTGACTCTTGAACACAAACCGCCCCTGCCCTGAGGGGTCCCGGATTGTGAGAGGGCGCAGGCCAGGCCAAAGGTCCCCACCAGTACATGATTGAGACTGGGGAGGGATGCAGGAGTTTGGCCAACCATGGAGAGACCACAGGAGGGCTCCAGGGCATGTCTGGCCCATCTTGCTCACTCCTAATTGGCTGGATCCCAGCAGCAAGCTCACCTACCAGTCAGAGAATCTTCCCCTGGTGGTCAGTGCGTGTCATAGTGAGCAATTGAGTGGCCTTAGCATATCATTAGCATATTAGCTTTGATTGGTTGAATGGATGACCGGATGACCGCACACTTAGCATATTAGGTTTGGGGTCTTAGAAGTAACTCTTTTATTCCCTTCTCAATTTCCTTATGGCTATTCTATTCATGTTTTCTACTTTCTCAGAAGTCAATGTGGATACCTTACATCCTTCAAAAAAAATCAACCATTTTTTTTTGTATCTTTCCACATTGTGTTGTATGTAGTATTTCTTATAATTGTTGTAAGACTATCTCTAATGATAGTTTAGTTTTAGTTTCTGATGTATTTTTCCTTCCCTCCTACACCCAGATTTGTTAGTGGCTGTGCTATGTATATATTTTATATTTACATATGTATAACCTTCTCACTGCATTGTTGTTAAAAACAGATTTTCTTTTAAGGATATTTTAAATAAGAGAAAACCCTACATATTTTTCTAATAGTGGTCATTTCTGTAGCTCTTCTTTCCTTTGTGTAGATCCATTTATCCATCTGGTATTCTGCTAAAAGAACTTGACTTTTTAAAAAATATATATATATATAAATATAGTGCAGGCTTGCTGGTGATAAATTATTTTGTATATCTGAAAAAGTCTTTTTCACCTTTTAAAAATACATATTTTTGAGAGAAACCAAGATGGCGGCATAGGTAAACACCTAATTGC